TCTTTCCCTTCACTAAAAGAAACTTTAAGCTCCTGGTGCCTCTTGTTGGGACGCACACTAATTTTATTCTCCTTTGGGCTGTTTCTGTAGTTTCTCACTCCCCTTACTGATACTGTTTACTCCACTGAAAGTCTGTCTGTGACTGTAAAGATGCCACTGCACTGTGTCCCAGTACCAACCATTCAGGTTTGGTTTCCTAGTGTTCATGAGCAGAGATGAAGCTCACGAGGTGCTGCGAGTCCACAAACGTGCTAACCAGTTCCTGGAGGAGATTTATCCAGGGAACCTGGAGAGGGAATGCAACGAGGAGCAGTGTTCCTTCGAGGAGGCTAAGGAGATCTTCCACTCGCAGGAGAAAACGGTGAGAAATTTGTGTTTAGGAGAAATAGAGGCAAGGGAACAGTGAGCTGTAGGTAATCCTTCCCAAGGAAGGTGTGTGCCTATGGTGGTCAGGGTGGGTCACTCAAGGCACCTGTGATATCTCACCTGGTGAGTACTCAGTTTGTTATGTAAATGTTCAACACAATCCCTTGAAAGGATCTCATACGTATTGCTGTGAGAGCCTCAATCCAGCACCTGACTGGGACATTGTCAGAGGCCACTTGGCTGATCAGAGCCTCCAAATCCAGAGGAGGAGCACCCTGTACCCAGGGCTGTGAGTTTCTGCTGAGGCAGAGTTGGAGCTGCAGTTTAAACAGAAGTGCCTGATCTCTTGTATCCAGCCTGAGCAGCTCAGGTGGTGTCTCCTTAGCTGATAGAGCAGTGCAGGAGAAAAGGCTCCTCAGAGAAAGCAGTTGGTCCTGAGGACCTTGCACAGACAGGTTTGGTGGGAGCAGGTGCTGGTGGTGTCACTTGGAACTGGTGCCCCAGACCTTTCACTGGCAAGAGCATTTATGGATCTGAGCTTTGAGTGTCATTCTGGTCCCAGTACAGCCCAGTTTGTGCATTCTGTGGTTGGTGCAACCAAAAACAAGTGGCATGTGATGACCAGACCTACCCTGAGAATGTGTTTATGATTCTAACCAAAGTGTTAGTTACATGAACCCTGAAAAAAACCACGTGCTTTCTAAATGGTGTCTTCAGTAATCAATGTGACCATTTGTGACTGTTCTCTCCGTTTGTGATTTCTTCCTGCAGATGGAGTTTTGGTTCTATTACAAAGGTAGGTAAAAAAGGAATTTAAAAAAGATACTTCTTGTGTCTCTCCTGCATACAAAGAATTGTGTGGTGGTTTAAATCCAGGCTTCTCTAAGTTCCTGGAGCTACAGTCTGCCTTGTTTCTTCTCCTCAGGTTTAAATCCATGCAGTACAAACCCCTGTAAGAATGGTGGAGTCTGCAAAATCAGACACTATACTTACTTTTGCATCTGCCCTCCAAAATTTGGAGGACACGACTGTGAAACAGGTGAGTGTGGGAGCAGACACAGTGACACTCATTGTCCCAGGAAAGGACAGGGAATCACTTGTGAGGGAGAACAACTCCACTAACACCTCCCTGCACTGGAGAGGGTCGTGGTGAGCCCCTTTTCTCTTTTATTGAGTCTGTTGTCAACCAAACTTTCCAAAGCTTAGTGTAAACAAAAGATCTATTGCATTTGTGTTGTAACACACAAAGGATGGAAAAGGAAGGAGAAAAATTGCCTTCTCCTGGCAGCTTTTTGATCTTCTGAAATGATTTATCCAGTTTGCAAGCGACTGAGGCATGAACTAACAGCAAAAGCCAAAGTGATGTGGAAACTGAATCCCCTCTAAGTGCTTTTGTTGACCTTTGCTTTTTACAGTGAAGCACTTCAACCTGAGTGTTTTTAATGTAACAATGAAACAATCTGAGGGAATTTCTTGCAGACTTGCCCCCCTTAGATGCTCTGTGTTTTAAATCTGTCATGCTAGAAAAGACAAGATGTGCAGAGGGATCCAAACCTGATGCATTTAGAAACGTTTGCTCTTCCAGGCATTTCCTTGCCCTGCTCTGCAGGCAGGAAGGCCTCGAGCCCAGCTGTGCCCCCAGGGCAGAGTGATCAGAACAGGAGAACAACAGGCACAAGGTCTGGTTTGCTGTGTGTTTCTGAGACTATGAGGTGGTTCCTTCTGTTCCCCTGCAAGATTTCAGCAGTTTTCCCTGTTTTTCTTCACACCCTGGTGGCACTGGAGCTGGGCAGTGCTGGGGTAACCTGAGCTCTGTTTCCCTGCAGAAAGGTTTGAGTGCTGGTACAAGAACGGTGGGTGCTGGCAGTACTGCAGGGACAGCAGCACTGCCTTCCACGTGGAGTGCTCCTGCGCCAGGGATTACACCCTGCACCAGGACGGGAAGAGATGTGTGCAGGCAGGTAAAGCTCAGGGGGCACAGGGTGTGCAGCTCTCCCCTTGGCTGGTTCCAGAAGGGCTGCACGTGCTGTAGCTCCTGCAGCTTGCACTTAGTGTGTGGAAAAGATGGGTTATTTATGTTGTTTGGGTTTGACGTGTTGAAGTCACTCTCAGTCAGGTGTCTGTAGTGCAGTGACCCTGTGAGCACATACTGAGCAAAGGAGCAGCAGGACAGTCTGGGCTAGGCCTGTTCCTTCTGCAGCCACATGGGCTTAGATCAGCTGCACTGAGCTCTGCACACCTCAGTCAGGTGTGGCCAAAGGGCAGTTTGACATCAAGATGTCAGAGTTGTTCCTGGGCTCTTACAGAAGGGGCCGAGTCCCATTCTTGTACAGGAAAACTGCTGCTTTGTGTGGGAGTTGGACATGACACCACACACCCTAGACTCAGATCTTGGTTTCTGTGGTTCTTCCCTCCAGCACCGTTTCCCTGTGGCCTGGTCAAGGCCAGGCAGGCTCTGAAGGAACCACAGCTGGGGCCGAAACGGCTCCCGAGGGGCCCACGGGAGCAAAGGCTCGATGTGGCCAAGTGGCACAGGAGCACAGAGGGCAGAGCTGGGCAAACGGCGCTGGGACACGGTGACGGGGAAAAGGAAACCTCACAGGTGACCTTTGGGCAGAGCGTGCACGTGGAGGGTCATGCTGGACAAACGGAGGGGCCAGGAGATGCCTCCAGCTGGAACAAGACACTGGTGGGCTCTGTGACCCAGAAGCCACTGTGGGA